TGCACGGAAGGTATGGAGCTGTAGAACAGATGTCACCCCTAGACATCAGGGACCTAAATGGGCAGCCTCCTGCCTAGATAACATCTAAATTGGTTTTCCATCAAGGCCTGGCAGGAAAAAGAAGGGTAGGTGGTTGGCCCAGAAACAGGTGAGCGGGCCAAGATCTTACCAGCACTGGGAAGGCCCCCTGTTACAGGCTAACATCCCTGCTCTATTCATCCCACTCTCCCTTAACACACACAAGGCAGACAGGGTTCTTTGGGTCAATATTATATCTTTTAGTAGACCAACTTAATAGTCTACTAAATAGTTGCAGAAATATATCTTAGCAAGCTTTCAGGTTGAAAAACCCTTCATCAGGCTGAGGAAGCATCTGCAGTTAGTGTGTGTGCTCTTCCTGGATGGAAGGAATAGTAAAGAAACCAGAGGCTGGCATGCAGGCAAGAAAGCCAGTCTGCAGAAATGTAAATGGAGGCATCAAGGGGTGAGAGACAGGCTGGAGGAGTGGGGGGAGGAGGATGTAGCAGGTAAAAGTGGAGAGGTACCTGGAGAGTCAGATGTCAGGCAGTTTATAGTGTGTCATAAATCCAGTGTCTATACTGAATCCATGAGTTTCTGTATCTAGGAGGCTGATGAAGTGAAGTTCATAGGGCCATCTGTGAGAAGTGTTTTGTAAATTCCCTTTGAGGATCAGGACTGAGAAATTTGTCTCCACAGGTAGTTGGATATTCTTGTCTGTAATAGATTTCTAGTGTCAATTCATTCCGATCCGCAGTTGCTTTTGGGTGTCTCCTGTGTATTTTCCATCAGGGCACTTGGAGCACTGGATGAGATATATAACATTTCTGGAGGTGCAGATATAAGATCCAGGAATGGTGATGGTTCTGTTGTGGGGTGTAGTTCTTCCATCCAGGAAGAGCACACACCAACTGCAGATGCTTCCTTAGCCTGAGGAAGGGTTTTTAAACCCAAAAGCTTGCTAAGATATATTTCTCCAACTACTCAGTTGGTTTAATAAAAAATATCAGACTGACCCAAAGAACCTTGTCTGCCTATGTCCTTAGACCAACATGGCTACAACCTACACACACCTCGTAACATATACAAGCGTCACAAGTTTGGTACCTATGTCTGACAAATGAAAAAACAGGTGTCCAAATGTGCGTGCTCATCCAATTTATGAACTTATTTCCAAGGGTCATCTTAGAGAACATATTTCACATGTAATCATAATGCTATATTATTATTCTAACTAAATCAATAGTTGCATCTGCATCAAAAGAAAATGTGACCATCTCTTCAAGCTCTTTCTCACAAAATCAATAATTTCAATTAGCTTATTTGTGCTATCAGCAGAGTATCACCAATTTCTGTTTCCCACTAGATACTTTCTCCTGAAGGTAAAAAGCTAACAAAAGTACTATCTATACTAATGAAGGAAAAAGGGATATTTCTGAAACAAGCAAATGTTAATAGAAAGACATTATTGTACTGTAGACAAGCAAATTCTGGTCTACATAACAGAGTACTTGTCTGCTCTTACATGACAGAAATAGCACATAATTTAAATAGTTAATAGCAAAAATTAGGTAGATTATGATGGTTGCTTACGTTATTTTCACATTTATACAAAGTTTGAATCAATGCAAGTCCCTTGTTTCAGTGGAGATACCCTGTTCTGAATAGATATAAATTAGAGACAAATGAATTTCCATAGTGATATTTTAGCCTTTTCCTCTTCAATTTTGTGTGTCTTTTCTAGCTTAGCAGCTATACCATAAAATTTCCAATTTCAAAGACTAATGACCAACACACCTTTATCTATAAAGCAAGATAGAACTTTTATGTCCCCATCTATAAAGCAAATCCTCTAAAGAGTATCAAATTTTACATTTCACATTAAATGAAAAAGAATAAAACTTTCTGTTTTTATTATTAATAATTACAGATGAACCTGAGCCACAAAGTTAATCTAGAACTGGGTCTGAAAATCTAAAAAATTTCATGAATATTCACAAGATAGATTCTGAGGTCTTTTGTAGTCCCTTCATTTTGCATTCAATGTGGACTTTTTTCCACATGCACGCACATTTGCAATTTCCCTAAATCATCCATTTTTCTTTTGTGAGGCATCCAATGTAACCCAGTATAGTGAGAGACAGGATTAATCATCCATTGCATTTATTCAGTTCCCACCAGAGTAATTCAGTAATTCAGTTACAAAAGAAATACAACCTACAGTTTATGGCAGCATTCCAGGATATTGAAAAAACAGCTGATTATATTCATTCCCACTTTCATTTCCCAGTGGCCCCATTTATGGAATATTTAAGAAAGAGTTATAATTGCCTTATTAAACATCTGCAATTCAATGTTTTCTCTCAAAACAGAGATACAGTAAAATAGAAATAAAACTAATCATGAATAAGCTACATTTTCTGAGATTTATTAATGAGCTCTATATCAGTACAAGTAGTAGTTATCTGAAACTCAGAACTCACTGTAACTGTAGGGCTAGGGACATGAGTTGCACATAAACCAGTTTAAGTGATCAGAAACTGGTTTAAACCTGTAACAGAACAGAATAGAAGCTCAATGCACATAAACCAGTTTCAAAATGGCTGAAACTGATTTAAGAGAAACCTGGTTGAAGGCAGTATCAGACTTAATTGATTTGGGTCAAACCGATTTGTGAAACTTCTGTCCCAGAACCCTTCCTGGTTCAAGTTAAATCAGAGTCCCCCAGCATCCCAACATGTTTTGCAGCCCCGGCTGTGCTGTGCTGTCTGCTTCAGAGAACAGGGATGGCCCCACCCCTCTGCACCCTAGCTAGAGCAGTGAGGGCTGGCTGACAAGGAGGGCCAGGGGGAACAAGCCTGGCTGGGATGTAACCCAGTCTACAAGGGGGTGGGGGGAGGAACTGCCCCCCACCAGCAAACCCCAGCTGGGGGCTGGGGCCAGGGAGGGGGGTTAAACACCCCTTCCCCTACTCAAACTTACTGCTGGCTGCGACTGTGGACTATAAATCCCAGAGGCACCTGGAAGCAGGAAGAGGAAGTGATGGACAACCCTGCAGAGTCCTGCTGCTGTAATTCTGGATTGCAAATCCCAGAGACTTTGGGGGCAGCAGGAAGAGGAAGCAAACGTGGAGCCAGAGAACCATTGCTCCCTGGCTTCTGGCCTGAGCCACTGCAGGCATGTGGCTGCATTTCCTGAATCAAAGATAAATGTCTGTTCACTTCTGTTTCAATTTAATCTGTTCATTTTAGACTAACCTGCAAAGACTGAATTAATTTAGCCTCTGGGCTTTTTGACTGTCTGTAGCTAGCCCTGGAGTTCATTCTATAGCCCTACCTTAGCTAACTGTGTCAAAGCAGGTCATACATTCATTGATGGGAGAACCAGCATAAAAAATAATTGTTTTCCCACAATCTGATATTAAACCAGCCCTTGAATATGTAGCCATCATATGTTTACATTGATCATAAGTTATAACCTCCAGAGTTGGCAATTCTGAGCCTCATAGAACCCTAGAAATATTGGTTTATGGTTGTTCTTTGTAAGCATTACATGCTTCAGCACACTATTTCCATTTAAAATTTAAAATTGATCTTTCCTCTTTATACAAATGGCTCACAGGTATCTCTGCATTGGAACCGTTTTTGTCTATCCAAACAAAATCGCAGCTTGTTCTTCTGACATCTCTTTATGGGTGATTAGCCATCAGACTCAGCTCAACATAACCAAAATATGTCTCTCAATCTTCCCCACCCTCCTCCACAACCTCTATCTCAGGCCCCTTACAATAGCCAACCCAACCTATCATCTTGTATACAGTATCAGTATGTCACCTTCCACCCCTGCTCCAACAGCCTTCCTCATCCACTTGTTAAATTTTTGACCAGTCACTTCTTTGATTTCTCCCAATAAAATCCCTCACATTGCATAGGCATCTACACAGGTACCTTGTTGTCCTCTTTCAAATTCTTGATAAATTTGTCTTCCGTTGCAGTACAGAAGTCCTGAATAACTGGTGGGTACTTGCTGTGGTGAAATCATGCCCTATCACACTAGTAAGTAGCTTATCAGAGGTTCTTCATCTCCCATCCCTAAAGAATTTCATCCCTAGGGATTCTTCATCTCTTTGTGTAGCCTTCAGTTGTCTTTCATCTCAGACTGTAACCTCCCAAATAGAGGGACTTTTTTGATAAATTGTTTTACAGCATGTAGCATAAAAGTGTCTTTGACTATATCTAGGACTGTGGTCTCAACATCATCATCATCATCATTAGTATCACCATGTCCTGGATATAATTTCTAGGCCTCTGGGAGGCCTCTGAATGGCCCTACTTGTATTCAGAATCTGCCAGCGCAGATCTGATTACATGGATAATAAAAACAGCAAGTATAATTTCATGAACTTTCTTTTATCATTATAAATCTACAGCAAGAAAAATTTACCCCATTTCCACTGGGTCCCACTGAACTATTTTATAATTCGTTAACACACTGGATTTTCCATCAAGAATGAAATGTGGAAAATGTAAAACTCCTAAAAGTACAGAATTCCTCCTTTTCTGCATGTTTATTTAAACTAAGTTTGCATATTCCTCAAGATGATGACCCTGGAGTCACTATGTATGCAACAAGGGATTATCATAATGTTGTTAATGGGGGCTATAATTATTATAGACTAGATAGTGATAGCTTTTACTCAAGTCCTTTACACTAATAATATTATACACTGAAAGGACATATTCATAAACTTTCTTTCTGGAATACAAATCTATAAGCTTCTCCACAAAGGTTCTAGAAGCTTCTCCACAAAATGTGCCCTAGAAATATATTTCTCTTCCCAAATTGGGGAAATGGAGCCACAATTCTTTAGCTTGTTGATAGAGTAGTTTCTGTCCTTTACTCAGAAAAGTTTGTAAAGTTATGATCTACCCTTATGCTTGTTTACCATATATCCATTTCTTTGTATAGATGCATTTTTTTACCTGTGCGAATGTCATGGTTAACACCTTCCACTGAAATAATGGCATTTGGAATTCCTTTCCCATGTGAATCTCTTACAAGCCCTTTGATGCCCCGATGAACCTATTAATGGAATGAATAAGAACGAAAAGCAAATTTGACTTAAAATTATGCCACTTTTGCAAAAAAAAATAAAGTTGTTAGCTTGTTCATGACTAACTTTCTATTTGCCTAAATATTTTGGATGAAATCTATCAACATATTTAAGAAATTAATTTATCTAAAAAAAATGTTAAATCTTGGGTTAGATACTTCTGATTTGAGCATGCTAAAACAGGTACAAAGGCACTTTCTCAAACAGGAATGTCGACTGGGACACAGCTATTTTGGCCATCTCTATTCTACCTTCCTGCCAACTCTGGAGCTCTCACCAAGGAACAAGGCCTGCCAACATGTTACCATCCTTCTTGGGCCCAAACCTAGCAACTAAACAGAATTGGCTTAGAAGGATAATTAGTGCATGCCCCAGTGCCACTCTGAGACTTTGTTTCTGGGGGAGCCTGAAAGCAGTGCTGGGGACCTTTCTAAATGATCTATTCCACTTAATTACTATGCTTGGGCTTGGAAGGGGTGGGAGTGAGTTGGCCGGCCCCGTTTCTCAGTAGTGACACCAGTTTCAGTACAGAGACATTTTAAAAGCAGCCATTTCTGTATCTTGGTCAAAACTAATATAGTTTTGAAATATCACTATTAACACTAAATCAACCTTCCAGCCATCAGTCACCTTTGAATCAACTTACAATTTTAGAACGCCTGTAGCTGTGAATTTAAGACAGAGCCAGATAAAATAACTAAAAGTAGAAAGCCAAATGGTTTTTCATCCAATTGTTTTTATCAAGTCTTGCACTCTTGTAAAATCTTAACAAGCTTCATTATTTTGTTCACTAAAACTAAAATAATCTGCTCTAAATAATCTGCCAGTGTTTTTTGAAGGGTAGGGTTTCTATTGTTAATGCCAAAAAATCATACCGTTTTCATAATTTAAAACACAGATCATAATTGAAACCTTTCTGTGAAAGAATCAGCCTCCACACAGGTTGAAATAAAACATGTTAGTCCGTTGAGATCACAAGGGCTGTGTGGAGGACTGGAAAATTTTGGATAAGAAAATGTATTAATGTTTTTCAATATTCTAAATGATGCTTAGTTCTCTAAGTATATGTACGATGTCGCTCATGTTCTCATTAGCAGAAGCACCCAAGTTTGACGGTCAAAACTGGACATTGTCATTACAAAGGAAGATAATATTAAAGTGAAGATATTCAAAACAGTCAAGGAGACTTAGACAAGTATTTTCCACTAGACCCAATGGGGCATAAATAAATTAATCGGAAATATGTATATAAATAATTAAATTAATGGAAAATATTTGTATACCGACTGGAGGGTAACCAATTGCAAGCCGTAAGACAGGGACACTGGGGAACTTTGTTACCATACCTTCCTCAGCAGAATCATGCAGTAGATGATTTTTTAATAACCTAAGGAGCGGCAACAGTCTAGTGGTTTAGTAGGAGCCTCTGCAAACTGTGACCATAAGCCTACTAGAGAAAAATACAGTGGGCCATACTAACATCAGGTAAAACCAAAATTTTACTTAGACCATATTCAAAACAAAGTATTGTCTGAAATGGCAAGATACTATTCTCTTTAATACCTGTTCCATAAAAACAATCAGGGATTCACGGTTGTTTTCCCATTCTTCAGGTAATTCACTTTCATGAGGATACTTATCACAGCCCACATAGATTGATAACTCAAAGCAGTTTGTGTGCAGGTAACTAAAGTCATTTATACCTGTCAAGGCAAAAGAATAGACACCATTTTATAAACATAAAATCTTCCCCCTCTTTAAGCTGACTAGACTTGAGGATTTTTAAGTTAGGAGCAGAACTGCTTAATCTCATACAGTGAGCATGTGTATATTTGAATTCTGTCAAGAGGACAATTTTGTGAAAAATACCATCAGTATTTTATTTCAATTGGTTCATGTAACTGTGTGACTTGAAATAACAACATAGTTATGTATCTAACAAAGCAAAGCGAGAACAGCTCCAAATAGGTAGGTGAAACTTGATAAAAATATTTTCTTCCCTATAGAAAAAAGGTCTGCCATCATTTTGTCTTATTTAAAATGGGAATGAGTTACAGTGAATAGAATAGCAAAGTAGAAGATTATAAACCAAAATGAATATGTATATACATATATAATAGTTTTCACATATGTAAGTGTATGTATACACAGATGAATTCATGTGCCTGGCCCATAGAAGACAATGCAAGTCTTTCCAATCACTTCAGTAAACTTTGGATCAAGCCCTGAGAGACCAGAGTTGCAGTTTTTAACAGCACTCATCTGTACCAACTTTCTTATTCAGAGTATATGTGAGGATGCAGGGTGAATGTGCAGACTATAGTATTGCTGATGCACTAATTATACACAGTGTATCATTTCCTATCATCCTGGAATCTAAAGAAATTAGGACTCTGCATGAAAGAATAGCTCATTTAAAAGAATTCTAGATCAGATGTTTGTGACACTGATGTAAAAATGGTAAGCACTTGGAGAAAATGGATAATATTGCCTCTACCTAGAGAGAGGTGTTTGCCCTTCCCTTATAAGTGAGGTGCTGAACCATGATTACCTAAATTAGGATTCAGCTAATCCCTGATTAGAGGACATTCCCTTTCCCTTTCAACTGGCCTGAAGATTATGTCCCTCTTTTCTAATGTAGCCTGAGGAATAGTGATCCAAGTTTTTTGTCACTTTCAAGCTGCAAGAGCCTAGCCCAGAACGCAAGCAAAATCGAAA